ACTGACCCATGCACCGCTGGTTGTAAACAACACATCAGGTGAAACCTCTGCCAGACATGCTGCAGAAATAAAGGTTGTTTAAGGTAAGAAAAGTTAATAAAAAAAATAATGGTTGATTTGTCAATATCATTTTGAATTAATAATTAAATACCACTTTTAAACAAAAATTGTTTTCAATGATGACTCATTGATTGACAATATTGATAATTGTGGTTTTTTAGTTAACAGTTTAATATTTTATAAATTTTCAATGGTTAATTTTTGTGCTTAGTCTAGTCTCTAGTGTCTAGTCTAGTCATCATTTAGTGGCAGTGTCCTTTAAATTTAAAAAAAATTTTTGTGTGATTTGCATATGATCTTCGCCATCTAAATTACTGTAAAAATTCATTTAATAACAAAATAGTATATATAAATATTGAATTTTATTTTAGATTTATTATGATTGCAACTTATTAATTTGTGTGGTACCTCACCTGGCAGCGGTGAGAAGCAGATAAAAATTATACAAAAAACGGACATTTTCTGACTTCAACTCAAATTTTCGACAAAAAAGTTTAACAAAAGCAAATTATTATTAATTTTATATTTAAAAAAATCCGGTTTGAACGCTAAATTTTATATAAACTTCTTCCCCATCGTTCGCGAAATAGAAAGTTATTATTCAAAAAAATTAACAGTAACTTACGTAACAAATATGAATAAATTAACTAGCGCTATACAATATCTATAATTGTGTATATTTATTCATATATATCTATACACACGTACAGCGGGTATTTGCACAGTATATACAATGTATACCGTCATACATTTACATTAAATACACACATATATGTACGTAACATGTAGATAAATGGAAGATAATTTTATCTTTAAATAAATTTTAGTCATTAAATTTGACATTTTGTGAAGAGACATTTCTATCTTTCTTCTTCTTCTTTCTCGTGTCTTACCCTTTCAGGCCTTTGGCGATCATCGACCTCCACAAAATCCGATCTTTAACACTTTGTAGTAGTTGAAATGTGGTGATATTCAACGAGGACTTTACAAATGTTATTCATTGTTGACCGCGATCTCTTTTTCTTGCAATCTTTCCAAGAGTTGTTAGATTTTCCATTTTTTCCTTTCGCATGATTTGACCGAAAAACTGCCCCGT